CTTTTATTCACAAATCCAGGTTTGTTTTTCCTTTTCTTTGTAGTGCCGCGTTGGTTTATTTCCCTCTTTAGTGCTATCTGCAGTTCTTGCTTCGAACTTCTGACTAGCACCCTTTTTCCCTCCTGTGTCCTGTTCCCAATCCCTGCTTCCAGAGCCGCATCGGGGAACCCACCACCTCCAACCACTGTTACCGCTTATCGTTTTGAACTCCTAATCATCAACTGCATTCCTCCCCATTATCCTGGCCTCAATCGCGCCCTCTGAGCTGTATCTAGGCAACTACCAACCTACACCTCCTCTCCCCTCCTCCTCTACACCCAACCCTCTCACCCGTCACTCCCGTGGCCACGTGACCCAGTCGCTAGACACTGTACGGCGCTACGCAACGCGTCTGACAATGTCCCAGCGAGCGGCGTCGCGAAGTAGCGTTAACAGAGGTGACTGAGCAAAGCGCTGGAAGGCCAAAGCACCATAGACCACCAGCCGAGCCGAGTTCCTGTAATTGCCTTTCATGATCCTAGAACTGGAGCGTTCCTCAATTTCATGTATCGCATACGATGCCAAGGGACTTCTGTTATGTTGGAGTATACGACCATATGAAGTCTAAATTCGCGCAGCCCTAATTTGCAAAAGATCCCAAATTAAGATGCCAATGAAACTCTAAACTAGCATCAACTTGATGCAGAATCCCATAAGCAAGTCAGCTCCTATTTCTTGCTTCATTGCATAGCCGTACATGACCTTCGTTAGTCAAAATCTGGTTTGCGGAAGGAGTGTGATTGAGGGCGCAATGATTATCTGCACTGGAATCATTTTCCCATCTGGTTTTTCAAAGGCAGATGTGCACTCCCAGTCCTCCCTTCCTCGCTAACTCCAACAACAGCAAAAGATTGCGACGCGCATTGCTGCATTTATTTACTGTTGAAAAGAAACACCAAAAATGCCCATCATTAGCAAAGAAAAAAAAGAAATTCATAATGTAAGAGTTTAAAGAGAAAGGCTGGAAGTTCCTAATAAAAACAACAGACACGAAATAAAGTAAAACTTTCGAAGGCAATATGATGCGGGAAATTCCTTTAACAATTCTTCAGTAATACATCAAACAACTGCACTCAAAGCAAAGGAAAGAAACAGCCGCTGGGAAGACAAGCGCGCACCGAACCAGCTAGAAACCGAAGTATCAAGGCCAGTCTTTCAGGGGCAGTCTGTGGAAATGACAGTCCATTAGCAACTGCCGAGTGAGACCTAACCAAACCTGTAAGTGAGCA